TCCTCCTCCTCCTCATCATCATGATCTGCTGCTGATGCTGCTGCTGCTTCATCACCATAAACACGTGTGGGACTGTGAACATTCTCCTTCAAAGCCAGCTGTAAGAGCAGCCTCACGGACACCTCTTCCCTTCACCCACGGCAGCAAAAGGAGAAGCCCTGTGATTCTTTCCCTCTCGGAATGGCTCCCTCCCTCCTGGCTGCTCTGCCATCCTTGGATGGTTTCTGTTTCAATCAGGACACCTGAGCTTTTATTCCAAGCTTTGTTACCAGCAGCAGCCTCACCCTGGGGCTCTGTCAGCAGGAGGTGTTGCCCCGGGATGGGGGTGTGATGGATTGGGGCTGGAGCCACCATCCTCCATCCCTGCAGAACATCCCCCCTCAAACCTCCACGGGGGGGGGCGAGTTGAACAGAAAATTTGCTCCCCTCTGCGCATATTTAATTTTTTTTTTTTCAATATTATAAAAAAAAAAATCGCATTTTGAGACAAAAAGTTCTCGGAGAGAGCAAATTGCTGCGAGGAACTCGAAAGCTCCGTGTGGGAACCGAGCGCTGTTCCTGGGGGTTTGGCATTCTGCTTTTGTGTCTATTAATAATCCCCCGGAGTGAGTCAGATGGAGCTGCATTTATTCACTGAGTCGGAGAGAGAGAGAGAGAGAGGGAGAGCTGCTACCCGAAATAGCAGCTCTGTAATTTTTTATGATGCCGTAATGCCAGCGCGGCGAAGATTGACATCGTTTGAGGGCGATGCTCGGGGCCTGGCACAATCAGCTCACCCGAAATAAACGTGGGAAGCCACGTGCTCCGTTACATAAAGCAGCCCTGAGAGCGGGCATGTGGCGGAAATGCCCCCACCTGCACAGCTTTTCCCGGGATTTTTGCCCCCTTTGTGCCTTTCTGAAGCCGCCTCTGCTGCTGTTCTTCGCCTGTGAGGAGCGCCGGGCCGGAGCAGGGATTGGGAAGCGGCTTTTGCTGCAGAGGGGAGGATAAAAACACGTCTCTGACGATCAGCTACCTGCCTGCCAGGAGAAGAGGTCTGTAGGGAAAGCCTAAAATGCAGCAAATTCAGCAGAGCCAGCTCAGAATTCCTCTCATCTACACTCCTGCTCCCTGTGTCCCCCCTCAAACCTCCAAACATCCCCCTGGGCCAAGGCCTGTGCCCAAACCCAGCCACTCCTTCCCATCCCAGTGTCCCTGGCAAAGAGGGTGAGGGCAGGGAGACACTGGGTGAGGGTTTGTGTGGGTTTTTTTAAGGATGAAGCTGTTTTCCTGGATGTTTTCTCATTCTCTGCCCTGCACTGCTGCCATCAGGTCTGTCCCAGTGTGGCAGCCAGTGGAGCGCCCCAACCATCCCGAGGTGGTCCCTCTGCTCCCCAAAAGCCACTTGTGGGTACCAGGGAGCACCATTGAGAGTGTCCCAGGGGAGGATCAGGAATCATAAACACTGCTCAGCAGTAACCAGGACTTGAATTTAGGGCTCCTGCATCTTAATCCTGATTTTCTTAATCCCCATTTAATTATGCTAATTAATTTTATTAATCCTAACTTCCACAGAGGAAGAATTCATAGGAGTAGAGGTGTTGGAGGACAGCTGATAAGAGGAAGGATGATGGAATACACCTTCCTCCGGGACTTACCTGGGATTTTTTTTCAATTCTAATGAAAACAGGAGCTCAGATGAACTTTTGAGGAATGTGTATTCTGAATTTAAAAAATAAAATAATAATGCCCAAGTCACAGGGATGTTGGAATAGTACAATTAACTCAGGTTGCCGAGAGCTCTTCCATTTCACCTTCAATTTTGGGCTGAAAAGGTGGGGGTTTTATTACAAAGAATCTGGTGTGCCCCCCAAAAAAATCCCAGCAATTCCCAAAGGAGCACCAGTTCAGCACAGCTTGGCCAGAATATTTACATTTTATTAAATCTTTACAATCAGCAGTTATAATCAAGTACACAATTATGTACATGGATTATGTACATTTTTAGCCCAGACTTTTACATCACAGTACATAGTTGCCCTTAGAAATATTGTGTACACTTTATCACCAGAGAGTAAAACCCAACAACAGTGTTACAGCACCTGTTATTAGACATCTTTCATAAGAAAATATACGGCTGTAAATTGGGCTGGCTTAAGAAAAAAAAAAAAAAAAAAAGGAACCGAAAAATCTTATAAAATCTGAACGTACAATATTTCATTCACAGAATGGTTTGTTTCCTATGTTCTGACTGATGCCTGTTGCATAAGATGTCCCATTTTTTTCAGCCTCTCAACACACACTCACTGGTGCCTGTTCAGGTGCACTGGCAGGAGGAGGAGAACCAAAGCTGGGCTCATTTTGAAACTTCATTAAGAAAAAAATAAATGTAAACAATTAAGATTCCTTTAAGATCAAATAAGAAATTAATTGGCTGATCTGAATCACATGGCATGGAATAAGTGCTAGTTTCAGCTGTGATTCCTGAATTCTTCAGTATTCAATCCCATACAAATAAATGTACAATGCTATACACAAGGGCAGTTACTGATTAATGATGTACTGGCAACATTCCTTTGGAAGGGAGCAGGCTTCCAAGATTTTGGGAAGAATATTTGCTCCCCTCTCCAAAAGGTTTTTTTCAAATGAATACATTCTTTTTGCTTTTTAAGATGACGGTAACAGAAAACTGACTTATATCCAGGCTGATATGAACAGGTTAAACTAAAGCCTGTGTCCTCGTAAGGAAATACGAAGTGAAAAACAACCTGAATAAAACTCTTCCCCAATTTAACCCTCTTTCCCAAAAGGTCAACCTTCCCTGATTCAGTTCTGTAAACAAAGCTATGGCTCTCATGATGGTATCAAAGGGAAAGTAGAAACTAACTGAAACAAGAAAAACACCAACCCAAAAGGAAGGAGGCAACAGTTATCTGAGGTAGGCCACCACCAAAACGCTGCATCAAATCCACATGGAGCTCTGGGATCACTGGAAATCCCTCAAAAGGTAATGCCTGCTGCTTTAGCAATAGGTGTGGATAAAGCAGGTAAATAAAAAGGAGCTGGTGATGGCAAGGGAAGTTAGTATTTTCATAAAATTTGACATCTACAGCTAAATCTGCAAGTAAAAAAAAGAAAAGCTTGAGCTGCTGTATTGACACAGTAAGGACCAGAGGCCTCTGAGATATAAAAATAACTATTGTCACCAGAAGAATGAAGAGGATGTCCATGTCAAAGAGCATGAGAACAGAAATGCTCCTACGTGGCACTGAGCACTGACAGATCAGAGGAATTATCCGAGGGGAAAACACCTGATCTGCACCTGATGGGTTTGATTCTGGTCAGGTCCCTTCGAGCCCAGGCACTGGCAGGGCTCCAGGGAACCAAGGACACTTGCAAGGCTCCCGTGGTCAAATGCTTCACATGAAGAAACTGGTGTAACTAAAAACATAAACAAAACCAAACCCCAGCCGCGTCAAGCCCTGCTCACCGGTCCAAACCTCCAGTTATTTGTGCAAAAAGGAATTAGAACTACATTTAAAGTTTCAAAGGCCACTTAGTCACTGATCCTCCTCAGCTCCCTCCTGCCCTGGAGACACATGAAGTTCTGGATGATACCTGGGCGCGCTGCCATGCTCTCAGAAGGTGCCTTGTGCATCGGGAGACTCCTCGAAAGCAAGTGTGGCTTGGATGCATGGATACAACATTGCCTGGGATTGCTCTGCTCACTGTACAGGAGTATAAACACATACAGTATGGCTGTGCTAATTAACAGTTGCATATTCAGCACATGTAATTTCACCAGCTAAAATCAAAGGTGCAGTTCAGAGTGGGGCTTTCTTTTTTTTTTTTTTTTTGTTTATTCCATTGTAACCACGAATGTAACCCTTCATTTTTAGCCTGGTGCAGCATATAGGCAGTGTTCATTTAGTCTTTAATATAAAACAATTCCTTAAACCACAATTCACTAAAAGCAGTTTATATAAATCAAAGTAATTAGTTTTTGGCAGTTTCTTTGGACACAGTCAAAAACATCCCTAGGTTGTTTAAACTTCCCCATTTTTATTTAAACAGTTTTTCACAATGGGGGATAACAAATCAGGACTCACACTTACCTGTAACAAACTCCAGAGCCCAGAGTAACATCCCTGGGCTCTGAACTATCGACCCAACAGCACAAATTGTTGCACTTCCCTACTGGCACTGGCCTCCCTGCCTTAAATATCACACATACAGAAGTTGCATATAAAAAGAACGACAACAAAGTCAAGCTCTCTTAGAAGTCAAACTTGTAGAAAAAGGAAGGATTTGTTACAGCTGAAGTAGCTCTGTGCCCTCTCCATTTCAATTCCTTAGCTCGGGGCAGACTGGAGTTTCTCAGCCTGGGAGGCCAAAGGGAATACCTGGGACTCAACACCAGCCTTGCCCCACTTCACCTCAACCTCGAGCATGACCTTCCTTCATCTTTTCCTGCTGGGCCCCACGGCTGGTGGAACCTGCTCACACAGTGCCTTTGCTTTGGGCGGGAGCAGGAGGGGAAACTCCCCTCGCCATCGTTCTGGTTCCTGGTGGAACGAGGTGATGAGCAACTCTAGCGGGTCTGATATGTCAGGACAAAACCAAACTCCTCCCAGTTGTGCCTTAAAGGCAGGACCACTGGCAACAATTTCCCCAGGGTTTCAGCTGGGAAGGGCTCCAGCAGGACGCCGGGGGAGCTCTCAGCGCTGCCATCGATAACCAGCGGTGGTTTGTCACCCCACCCTGCTCGGCTCCTGCTTCCCAGGGCCCAGGGGAGCGTGTCCTCCCGGAGCCTGGGACGCAGGAATCGGGCTCCTTCCCTGCTGTGGGGCCACAGCGAGGCTTGGATTGCACCGTTCCCATTTGTAACCAGGAGGAATTGAAACAATACAAAGTTTTGCGGGCGGGATCTCCGTGGTGTCACCCCCGGGCGGGGGGGGGACACCACACCTGGCTGCTCATCACAATACTGAATATGTTTGCTTGGATTATCAGGGCCTCACTCCTACCCAAAGAGGTCTCCATTTGTTTATTAACAAATAAGTTACTCTATTACAAGTCATAGCTCATCCTTTTCCATCATTTCAAATGCTTCTATATCTTCGTTCCAGTCTGCTAATATGGATTCCATAGGTGTGACTTTATTATCCCAGTTAACTTTGGAATCTGACTCTGTCTCAGTCTTTTGTTCCTGAGGCTGGTTATCCCCTGATGTACATGCTGGCTCTGGAGCACCGGCCTCCTCGGTTCCAGGGACGTAGGAATCCTGATGGGAAGTGGGAACACTGGCACTGTCTGCGTTAGCAGGAGATAAAGAACCAGGCTCAGCAACATCTGAGCTCTCTCCTCCTTCCTCGGGCTCCTCGCTGGCTGCACCGACATCCTGAGATCCTGAAGCAGCTTCCTCTGAGTTCTGTTTATGTGAATCGTTTTCAGTTAATTTCTGGTCCATATTCTCCATTTCCAAGTCTTTGAGAGGAAAGGGGGAAAAAAAAAAAAAAGGGAAAAAAAAAAAAGAGTTAAAACAACCGTAGGAATGCAGCATTTTATTATGTATTTCAAAAAAGCAAGGTCACTTCCCTTGGCCTTATTTCTTCAAGAAAATGCAGACTTTCCAGTGATATGAAAATTTAATGTTACTAAGGATCACATTTTTACAAAGAGAGGGCAGGGGAAGACTTTTAAACACATTTTAAATGATGGCAAACAATACAGTGAGGCTTGTTTTGGTTCCTCAGACGTCAGAAGTGACTCGTGGGTCAGTGCTAGTTACCCTCCTTCAGTCTTGACAAATACCCACTTGTGTGCACTGAACTTCAGTACTGGATTTTAAAGCACTCCCAGGCCCACCAGGATCCTACATCTGAGCCAGGGAGAGCTGGGCAGTTTTATAAGGTCACTGAACTGTGAATTTAAGAGAGCCAAGGGCTGAGCCTCCCCCATCACACCCCCACTCAATCTACCAACACATAGCCCAAGTCCCACTTTAGATGCCCAACAGCTGCCCAGTTTAACCATGGAGATTTCTCTGGAGTTGGATCTTTATGGCCAGAATACAGGACACTGATATTTCAGGACCTGCAGGGAATTTAACTGCACATGCCAGTTTTGCCATGGGATACTTACTGCTATCAATAATGTAGTTTGGAATCATTTTACCTTTAAAGATTGTTGCTGGGATTCCAAAGGGAAGCACGAGGAGGGAGAGGGGAGGGAAGAAGCAGATATGGATTACAAATTCTCAAAGGCAGAGCTATCTTGTAGTGAGCATTTTGTTAGAGCACTTAAGCACGGTTACAAACAGGAGGGATTTGCGAGGTAGGAAGAAACAACACTGGATTTGGGCACATCACCTTTGCGAGGGTGCACAAGATAAATGCCGTCACTGATTTTCTAGAGGTACTTTTCTTCCCTACTCTGCTTGGACACAGCAGTGCTGTGAAGGAAGGCTTACAAGAGGAAAATCTGGAATTTTCTGCCCTACTCAAAAACATTTCAACTGGGAATGTATTAGCTTGCAATGTTCTTGTATTATACAAGAAAAACCCAGGAAACATCTGAGGTCAGCAGCCTCGTTTCTCATGATAACCACTTCTCCTTAGACAGGCAAAATAGTTCTAACACTTGTCTCTCTCCTTTTGGGCAGCAGGAATGTCACTGGGGAGTTTGGTAAGGGAGGGGCATTGGCAATGTAGGACACTGGAAACACTTAAGACTGTTCCTGACGCTACTTCAAAGCACATGATGACAAAAAAGGGCTCAGAAGGAATCCAAAATGCTGTGTTTTTCTCATTAGTCACAGCGACATTTAAGTGAGGAACAGCATTTCTGGATGTTAACTTGCAGGGGGAGAGGACAAGGATCCAAGTCAATAATGGCTTTCCTAATACAGAACTCATTCCAATGTCAAACAGAACTATGGCTCCTTTGGGCAGAAGCACAAAATACTGCACATTTTGCACTGTGCCACAGCACAGATGGAAGCTACATTTACAGAACTCCCCTCCAACCTTACCTCTGTCTTTTGCTTTATCAGACAGGAGCACCTCCACAGCCTCATACTCCCGGATTGCGTCCAGGATAATGTTTCCTTCCTTGTTGAAGAGGAAGAGCATGGGAATTGTGATATCATCTGTGTTCTTTCCATCCCCGGCCATTTGGAAAAGAGGAGCTGTGTCGCTGCTGCTGCCCTCATTGTCATCTAGGCAGGGCACACAAAGGGAAAGGCAAACTTCCTGTAAGCTCTAACTGCAGCTCTGAGCTTTGGCAGCCTGGGAGCTGCTTTTCCTGCCCAGAGGGTCCCAAGCACAGCATTCACTGTGCAAAGCAAAACCCCAACTCATGCACTTCTTTTCCTTCCCAGTTTTCCTTTGTACCCCCGTTTTTCCTCAGCAGTTAGCACCCACAGCACTCTGTGATCCTTAAAATAGCATCTTTTGATCTGCAGAGACAGACACAACCCCCCATCCCAGTTTGTTTTGCTGCACTTTCTGCACAGAGCCAGACCTGAAGCATCTCTTCATCTTCTGAAAGTACAGCTCCTGTGCTGGAGTACTGGCATCTCAGCCTAACAGCTTGTCAGCTTTCCTGCATCTTCAAATCTGTGCAATTAGGTTCAGCTCACACAAATGAAGAACTTGGAATTTTATTTACCAATAACAATGCCTCCTATGGCTCCAGCTTTCTGAATGTTTCGTGCTTTTTCAGCAAACATACATTGGCCTCTCTGCATCAGAGCAATTTTGTCTTTCACTGCCTCAGGATTAGTGATCTCTGAGCATCCATTATATGGCTTAATGGTTGCAACAAATCCTCTTGTCTGTTTGGAAAAAATAAAGAGAGAATTAAAGCAGCAGGTTCAAGCTTGTAGAAGATTCCGATGTACTTTTGTTTTTTCACTTAATCTAAAGCATTTAGTGTTGTCATCTGTCAGTGCAGCCAACCTGTCCCCTGCAACTGGAGTTCTGAGAACCAAAGGATGAATGCCTGGCTGAAAACCCAATTCTCATATTCAGGGTATTTCATCTACACCTGTGAACTGCTGTCTCTGGAAGTTTTTTTTCTGGGCACTGCTAGTCTGGAAAACTCCTCTTTGGGGCTGCAAATTGCCCCACCAAAGCCATGGAGGTTTATTACTGACTCCAAAAGGGATCACTGCCTCTGTGGGGTTCTTTTTTTTTTTTGCATAAGAACAGCTTAGTTTAGCTCTAAAAGGGCTTCTGCAACTCGTGGGTGACATGGGAGGAAAACCTTGCCTTGAGAATCAACATCTCTTTAGCCATGTCATGCTGCAGGTTGGATGAATCTGTTTCAAAAATCATCCTATTTTAAATCCTAAACCATGACTGATGACTCAGGAGCAGAGCACAGGGATAAGCCACTCATCTAAATGGCTGTCACTGCTGCCATTCTGTCACTGCTGGGCCCTGTCATTTTAACAACTGTAATTAATTGATCACCCTCCACCTGGCTGCCCTGAAATACTTCCAGGACAGTGAAATTAAGGCTTTAGCAATGAGGAAAGGAAGAGAAAGCAAAGGACAGATCTCACACACATCTTACACACCCCGGCTTTGTGCTTGGATAAGTCCATCCCAAACTGTGCTGGGCCAGCAGTCAAGACCACCCTGCCAAAGAAGGGATGGGAAACGATCTGCACGGCACGAGGAGGGAGCTGCTGCTCCTTCTGCTGCTGACTGGAGAGTTCAATCATCTCCTGCATGAACCGTAAGCCGTCCTCGGCATCCAGGGAACTCGCTGCCTGCAGAGGAAAGAACCAACCATCAGCTTCATCTGAAATGTCTGAGAAACTTGGGGGGGGGGAAAGAAATGGAAGTTATTTTTGCTACAAAGATTTTCCAAACGCAGAGCGGATGCTCGCTGCCACTCACTCATCATTTCAAATCAGGTTTTTTAGCACCTGAACCACCCTGAAGGTGAAAGGCTGAAGGCTGAAAATATACAAATACACAGACCTCCTAAGGAAATGGAAGCATCTCACACTGAAAGCAGTGTTTTCAGATAGGATGTTGTGGGCTCCATCACTTTTAACATGAACAGCCTCCATCTAATTGAATGCAAGTTTAGTTAAAAGTCTTGCTGAGGTAAAATATTAACAAGCATCAGCCTGCTAAATATAGCTGCCTATCCAGCTCATGTGCCTCCCCCCTTCCAGAGTCTGGCTGTCCCTCCTCAAGCTCCAAGTATCAAATATCATTGCTAGCAGGATTTTGCTGAAATTTCTAAAAAAAAAAAAATAAAAATATACTGTGTCAGGCCTTACTTGCACTGCATGCTGCACTAATTGCACTCGTCCATCCTTCAGATGGATCAAACTGACTCCCATCTTCTTCAGTATTTCCAAGTGCTCAGGATTACTGGCCATGAAATCTCTGGCTCTCAACGGTGGTTTTGGTCCACTTCCCAAACTCTCTTCTCTGCCAAAAGATATCAGAGATCAAAGCTTTAAAAAACGGGCTGTTCTTGAAACAGAACTCTCACGTTACCCCCACCAGCACAAGGTTAGAATTCTTTGCAGTAACACTGAGTGCAAGCTTCATAGAATGCAGTTTCTCAATCAAGATATCTTCTTGGAAAAAGTTGTCAATATTATCAATAATTTTATAGTGCAAAACAACCCTCCAGTATTGAAAACAATACTGCCATATGCTCTCTCTCGTTTCTAAGTAGTCTGCATTATTGCAAGACTGACTAAAACCAGTTTTCCACATGCAGTTGCTACTCAAGTTTCACTCATGAAGTATAAAATTAAAAGAGCTGGTCAGAAAAATAAACTTCCTGGGCTTTAACAGCGCCCTAAATCCCTAAGACCAGGTGTAGTTACATATGGCAGCATGATTTGCTTACTACAAAGAAGAGTTGCAGAACTGTTCAAGGGACTACAGAAAGGAATTTTAGAAAATCAGAGAGATGCACTTCCTGTAATGCTCCAAGTGGGAATTGCAGCCCAGGTATGTGGCTCATTAAGCTCCTTTTGCTCAGAAAAGACTTGCTAATTCCTGCTGGAAATTAACTAAGTCTTGCTGATGGTGCCAGAGAAACCACGACTGATTTTTCCTGTAAGTGGGAATCCCTTCCCAAAGGGCTTGCAAGCTCGAGCAGTACATCCAGTACACCTCATATTTCTCCTTCCATGCCTAACAGATCCTATTCCACTCAGTCCTACGCTAAAATAAAAGACAGAAAATGTTCCTCTCACGCTCTGGAAATGCCCCTGGGACAGCTCTTATCCACCACATTTTTCAGAGGTTCCCGGATGCTCTGGGCAAACATGGGGTCATTGGGGAAAAGGATCTGGGTGTTGGGACAGGTCCAGTCGAAGTTGCTGTCGTCCAGCTCCGTGTACTCTGTGGTCTAAAACAGAAGATGTACATGAATAAAATGCAGGTTAGATTTTCCTGTCAAGCAAATCAACAGCTAAACCTCATTGCAGTGATATCTGTGCAGGAGCTGAGCGCAAGAGAGGGGAATCGGTGCCCTACGACCCCTTTCTAGGGATTGATAAATACCACACCGATTCTAATTTGTAATTTCATACATTTATACACGGTTTCCAGATTTTTTATTTTTTTTTTTTTTTTTTTTGCAGAGACAGCTAAACCTCTGCTGGCAGGGCAGACAATACTTCTCAAGCCTGCTCATGACCCTGCACTAGGGAGTAGTTATGGTTTCATCTCGTACTGCCTTTCCACCAAGGGACCAGCTGCAAGGCCTTGGGGCACTCTTGCTTCGTGTTACCAAAAATCTCGCATCTTTTCCCAGGAACAAAAGGTTCTCCTCCTCAGGAGCCACACAGACTGAATCTATTTACAATTCAAACAATTTCTATTTTCGGGAAGGCTGACAGAGTTAACATTTTGCACACAAACTGCTGGTTTGTGACACGTGGAACCATGTGGAACGTGGCTGGTGGTTTGGAGCCATATTTAGCCTGGCCTTAGCTTTGCAACTAACTGGTTAGATAACCAGCAAGTTCGTTTTCTCACTCATAAAAATTAATGTAGTATGTATGCACTTGAAAAGAAACCCCCACCCCTCCTGTTTGCAACTACTAGCTAGTTAAAAATCAAGTATTTAAAGGCTTCCTAAAACTCAAGACCCAAAGGGCTACTGGAATACTAAGGAATACTATTCACAGGAATAGTAAAACATGACCTTTCCTGTTTATGAGAACAAATACAAACAGGATGTTGGGTTCATACTACAAACTACCTCACATGCAGTTCTCCTTCATAGCAGTGTGTTTGTGCTAAAAATAATTTACACATTCCATTCGTTCAGATAAAATTCCATCAGAGTAACACACCCAACATCACAGCCTTTTACCCGTTTGACACCATTTTCAATGGATTTTTTGACCTGTATTATGCCCATTAACAACTTAAGACTAAAGGAGTTTAAGGAAACTGTGTTTGAGCAATTTACCTTCTTTACTGGCCTTTTATTAACATTTATGGTTCTCAAGAGAATGACCTAAGTTAGGTCAGCCTTGACAACTGTGGGAATCCTGCCTGTCTCAAAAGTATCCAATTATATCCCAATATAATACTGGGAACAAATGTTAGATAAAATGCTCCTTCAGACCCTTCAGAAAACTCCTGGTGTGGTGTAAAAAGCAGTTTCCATTTGCAAAACTCAAAGAAAAAAAGAAAATAAATTCTCAGGGAAGGAACATTTCAGAGGGGGTGTGGGATCTCCACCAGCAAGGAACATTAAAAAGCAACTCCATGACCCATTAAATACATTAAATATTTTACCAGTGTTAGACATTAACACCAAATAATTAAACATCTGTCACTGTCTAATGCCAGAGTGCATAAAACAAGGGGATTTCTCTTCAGTTATAAGATTTCTCCAGGACACAACACAAGCCTTTTCCTCTGAGCCAGGCATTATTGTAAAACTCTTAGTAAAGGTTAAAAATTGAGGCACAAAAAAGGGAATTTATGTCCTTGATGTCTCAGACACTCCACTTCCTCATGCATTTCTTCTGCTTGCCAGTAGTACTATTGCCTTAAAGATAAATTATGTCACCTTATTGACCACAAAACCATAAAGGATGAGTATTTGTGATGCTTCATGGCACAGTTGTATTACTACAGGTTATTTTGGAAGGTTAAATGATTTATAAACCCATCAGCAGTCTCACATTTACATAATAGATGCCTATTATGTGGATTCAAACAATTAAATATACAAAAAATTATAGTTGCACCTTGTCAAAATAACTCTGAAGCTGTCTCAAAAAACTTCTCAAAATTTGCCAAGGGTTCATGAAGTAAAACAGACAACAAAAACTTGGGCATGTTATTGTAAATATTTGCTTTAGGAAAAACAGTAGAAAATGGAGATAAAAACATCCTAGTGTGTTATTTTCAAATTGAGAGAGGTAGGGAATTATTTTCTTGTTAAATCTTGCTAATATTCCAATTTCTCGAGGTTCAGCAGTGCAGATCATGGAAACATTCACACTCCTGTGACTGGCACTGTTAATATGATGAAATACTGCATATTAAATGTGTTCAAACTGGGACACTGCTTCAAATTATGATTATTTCCTCATTTTTCTTCCATTTCCCCTCAAAAAAAAAAAAAAAAGGGTACTGATTCAAAGCACCACAACCTGATTTGGATTTGAGGTGTTACGTACTGTGTTTTTTTTGGAGATGGTTTGGTTTGTAGTGGAGAGCCAAAGTGGCAATAGATGAGCTTCTGTAGTGAAGATGTAATCTTCAATGTCGAAAATCATGTCCTCCTTATCAGCAAACAGCAGGTACAGGTATTTAAACATCTCAGCCAGAAAGAACGAGTCCATTCTATGGGAAAAGAAAAAAAAAAAAGTGGATATCCTTCGGGGAAATTTCCTTTGTTCTAAAACTTCAGTAAAATAAATACTCCTATTGCTCCAGCTCTGAAGACTTCATGACTGTGACTGCTGAGTGTAATTCCATTTGAATTCCTTCCACTTGGAAGAAACTCTGTTTGGAGGGCAATGATTCAGCATGTTCAGTACAAAACAGAATTACAGAAAAACCAGATAAACTTCCTTACAAACTTACAGATTTGAGGCATATTTTGTTTGAAAGTAATTCTTCTACTGCTCCGAGACAAATGAAACGTTGTCAAACTAAAAATATTCTTATGGAATAAAACTATAAAGCTACTGGAACAGTTTACAGACTCTGACAAATGGGTAATTTGAGACTTGGTTATCAAACTGAAGACAGACAGCTACTCAAAATTCAATTAATTCAACTACATAAACAAAGTAATTTAATTTTTTGGTGTTTTAATTTACCTGTCTTCATGACTTCCCGTTCGGACATCCTTCATTGCAGCAAACCCACAAGGAACTCTTGCATACTTGTTCAAGTTTTCAATGAGGGTTTTTCCTACTTCTAAATAGTAAGGGTCTCCAGTGGCCTGTAAAAAAAAAAAAACAAAAAAACAAATAAAAAAGCAAAACTAAGCACAGGGGTGCACCTACTGTACAATCAGCACTGTGAAGTACAAAAGGCTTTTGCTCTTGGCAAGATTTCTTTAAAAGAGATTAGCCTATTTTAAAATCTTTTTTAAAAATGGCTCTTTGTCACTTTCTAATGCTAGAGATATAAAACGAAACTCCTAGAACAGCTGTGGGTAATCAGCACTTACATCTTGGTTATCTACACAACTGGCTCCAGGAGGTAAAATAAGATGGAGATGTGCTACTCAACTGTGGATTGAAATAAAAGACCAGCAAGATTCCAGGTGCTAGAAAGAGTGACCAGAAGTCTGAGGACTGAGTGTGATTGTACCTTATACAAGAAGTAAGTGCTTTCAGCAAATTCAGGCCTTAGAGGGTGCTGAGCCCAGTGAACTCTGAAGTCTGTTGTGAATGCCTGAGGATGAGAAAGGACAGACAGAAATAAATGCAAGAATGAAAAAACCAAAAATGGGTTTATTCTGAATTTAATGGTAATGGCCCAACCACCCAAGCTCGGATAAACACCATTTTTGCAAACATTCCTACCACCTGACATCCAGTGCATTAAAGTGTCAGTGCAAACTGACAGATGGTTAAACAGCTGTTTCTAAATGAATGACACAGACCAGAAGTCAGGTATCTAAAAATCTCCTGGTCTGTGTATTCTCTCTTCATATGCATTGGGAAAAGCCATTTCTGTCATGTATTTGCTACTTCATACAAAGGTTTAAACTATGTCTTTGCTAAAGGGGATGGTCTGCTGGCTTAAATACAACTAAGTGACCTTTCAAAGTTTTCTTCATAAGTAAAAAAACATCAAAAAAGCAACCCAAAAAAACCCACAAGGAGCCAAATCATACCATTTTAAAGCACTCAAAAAAAAAAAATCATTCCAGTGCTTAGAGAGCATTCTTTGGTCTCAGTAACCACATTAGGTGAATGGGATGTTTAATTAAAATGTTCTCTAGCCGAAATAAGCTTACACCAGAGAAAAGTCAAAATTAAACCTGGAGTCAGAAGCCTTCTCATATATTCTGGGTCATCACAGCTTAAAGACACACACTTCAGCAGGCAAACAAGCTTTTCTGGGCAGAATTCACGCACTCAAAGACTTGCAGCACCTGCAGTGAGTCTGTGTACTGACTTTCAAGGACATGATGCAGAATTTCAGAACATGCCCTCAGTCTTTAGGTTTAACCCTCCTTGGGTTAATTAAGAGGACTGTGATCTTTAGCATTAACACTATTATGTTACAAAGCAGCTACTGCTGAAATGTGATTATACAAGTTCTGTATAACGACACGAGTCAAGGTCGATTTTGAAAGACTGAAATATGAAGTCTAAGCAATTGTTAATAGCAGCAGCTTCCCATTATTGTGTTAATTACAGCAGGACTGAAGGAAAAATATTTCATACCCAGAACACAGCTGTCATATCTGCATGGCTGCAAATCACAGAAGAATGCTGTGGAAATCAGCCTTTTCATTTTAATAACATTTGCCTACTGGTTTTTTCAAAGGTGTATCTGAGACTGCTCAAATTGAGGTAAAAAATCAAGTCTACGCAATCAAAAAACCACAACCTTACCTCTGGAAGGAAGTTATGCTTTTTTATAACCTGATACAGCATCTCATGAGTTTCAATTGCAGGTCTAATGTCGCCCTTCAACACCTAAAATGAAATAATAAAGTTAACACGAATTCACCAAGCATAGCAATAATACTCAAAGGTAAGCACACTCATTGTGTTCATGTAAAAGCTACAGGCCGATCACTTCATCCTGTAATTATTACTCCCTTTCAGTGTAAACCACAAATATTCCAAAGCAGTGAACTCATTAAGATTACTGTCTGTGTAGAGCAAAGATCTCCGTCATTTACAGAGAGCTGGGGTGGAAATGTGATTTAGTTTGTTGTGAAGATATAAACGACATACACAAACTAGAAAATTTGTCACTGGACTACTAAAAAGGCAGACTATTTTGAGTGTTTTCATGACTAGGAGAAGGAAGCAAATTATATGGACATATTTTTCTTAATAGTCAACATGGCCAGAAAAGCATCGGAGCAATGAAGTGACAAGGAGTGAGTACAGAAATCATGGAATCACAGACTGGATTGGGTTGGAAGGGACCTTAAAGCTCATCCAGTCCCTGCCCTCTGCCACGGGCAGGGACACCTTCCACTCTCCCAGGTTGCTCCAAGCCCCGTCCAACCTGGCCTTGGACACTTCCAGGGATCCTCACCCAGTATTTCTGAAAATCAAATTACTAAGCTTGACCTGAATATTATATATCCAGTCCAGTTAATAATTCACTTGTTATTAAAACCATCTGCTCCTGGGTTTTAAACCCTACCTGCAACCCAGGGAAGAAAGCCAGCAAAGAATCCATCCAGGTCCGAGCATTTAGCATTGGTTTATGAATATGAACATCAAGAAGGAGAGGTGGTTGGCTGATGTATCTCATTATGGCATCGTAGTGCTGCCAAACAGCAGAAAAAAACATGAGTCTGTGCTATCAATACCATTCCAAAAACAGACAGAGCTCACCAGACTGGCACTTTATTCCAGTGGAAGAACCAGGACTACCTTCCCAATCATTACTACATTTGGCAAGGCGAGCAGGTCCTAGTTTTGCAAACTTAAAAGAAGTAAATACTGAAATATCTCCACATGCAAAACCTGTCACATTTTCCAGGTCACACACACATGCACAAAAGTATATTCAGCAGCCATGTGATAAACAAAGGACTAGCACAGCTAAGACATATTTGTTTGGACTGAATTTTTAAGCTGAAGAAAGCTGAAAATACTTTCATTTTAATGGAAAATCATGCTGTATGATATAAAATCATTCTACCTTCTAAAGTGTTTTTAATGGATGTTGTTATTTTCAAAAGTTGTAATACTCTTAGGAAAGAATAAAGATGCAGACAGCTGCATAGTAATCATATGAATTTAGTGATCCAAGTGTGGTTTTAAGCCTGTGTGTCCTGGGCCTGAGGATCTGCAGTGCAAAGCAAGACCCAGACTTTGATTTTCAGAACAGAACTTGTACCCTGGCTTGTAACAAGAGGCCCTTACATTGTTTTACAGAAACATTCCCAGCAATACACTGTCCAAGGTGATCCTGAAATAGAGTTTCTCCTGTACTGGAAACATGGAGAAAAGTCTAGAAGATTCTGGGGTTAAAATACTGCTCAGGTGACAGTTAGTCACCCAATATTAGCAAAACCCCCCAGTAAAAAGAGCTGGCACTAAACACAGCAGAAGTCACAGAAATTCTGCTCAAGATCTCTTCACAGGCTGCTCAGGCCAACAGCTGACAACACAATTCATCTCAAATGTGTCTCACAGAAGGCAGAAGCCTGAGCAAGGTGTTAACTTACCGTGTTAAACCTCTCCAGGAAACTGTCATCTCCCAGCAAGACATAGGCTTTTAATAAATATTCATAATAGGAATCTATTCCTGCTCCAACACCACTATCTGGAAACAGGAGGAAATGGAAAGGTGGGTTTACTTGAAGTAGATACATGGGTGTTTTCCAGATTTTTCCACTCTGATTTCAAAGGCTTTTCCAGTAAAAATGAAAAGCCTCCTATCACTAGAATTAAGGTCCAGATGGATGCAGAGACACAACACTGTGTGTCTAAGCCAAAGGCTCTGCAGTGCCAGTGCACATAATAATAGGGACAAGCCAGTTGTTTCACTTTCCTCAGAGGAAATCACTTCCACAGTCCTATTTATATTTTTCCCATGTATTTATAGCAAAATCCCTGAAAGTTTATCCCAAGGCATTCCCCTCTCAGCATTAAAGTGAATCAGGGAGCTCTTTGCAATGAACATAACTGGTTTCTCTACCAAAAAACCCTTTCAGAGCAAAGCCAGGCCCTTGGTATAGCAGGTTTAACTGATGTAATACTTTCATATAACCTAGATAAGGGTGTGGGGGCTGTGTCAGGAGTTTTTTTCCCTGGCTCCAAATCCCCTGTGGTCCCTGATCCCGAGCCAGGTCACCACCCACCTTTTCGGACCCAGTCCCCAGTGTGGATGTTGATAGTGACCCCCACTAAGTTGCTGCTGCGCTGCCTCTTCTCCCAGATAAAATCCAGAGCTTTCCTGGCATATTCCTGCAACAAAAGACAGGAAAAAAAGGAAAAAAAGAGAGAAACACAGATAATAAAGACTGTTATTCTTTTGTCTCCTGAAATTCAGATGCGGGGAAGGATCGTTTCGTATCTAGCAATTATAAACTGCACACACTTTATTATTACAATATCAGCCCACATTTCATGGAGTTATTCAGGGGCTCATCAGCAAGGCTGGTGCTTGGCTCCACAAATGTTTGCCAATACACGAATCAAACACCCTTCTGCACGGGTTCCCCACTCTAAAATAATGATGGGATAGTGCAACCTAATTAATAAATATTTCAAGAAACGTAACAGCCTTAGAATCGAAGCCTCTGTGTTCTTTCAGGCATCTCAAGGCGGAGCAGCAGCCCCTATTCACTAATATCCTATTCTTTATATGCCCCAAATTAACTTGAATTTAACATCTACTCAAACTAAGTGACTTCAAACAGCAAACAAAAGCAGGGGATTTTCGGGGGCCCAGTTTTGCTTCCACGACAGGAAATAAAATATCAGGCACATCCTGAAAGATTGAAAAAAAAATTCTAACCTGGAAAAAAGCTTGCCTTTTTTTTTTTTTTTTTTTAAATCGGATAGAGGTTTTATCAGATACCTACAAGTATTTTCATTTACCTTTCTGATAAGGTGTATTTCTGATAATACACCCTTAGGCAGGTCTTGCACATGTTCAGTGACATTACACAACAGTGGGGTTTATTTATTTTAGTTTTAAGTGCATTTTAAGGACCAAGCATCTCATTTTTCTTACTAGTCCTGATCTCTTTACCCCAAAAACTATGCAAGCATTACCCTTAAGCTATTCTTCAGTATATTTATCTCACTTAGTGCTGCACTACTGTAAGTACTTTTAGCCAAAATTATTTCCTGTGATTTAAAAACAATTAAAACAATCAAACCCTAGACCAAAGCCCACAAACACAAGAAATCTGAATACCTACAATTTTTTTTTTGTGCAGAAACAGGTAAGACACACATCCATGAACTCCAAATTACAGAAATATAATAGAACACTAATGAACACCTAATCAAAAAAATAAGATATCACAGAAAGCAAACCTCAAATATAGATGTTCCTGTGAATCTGCTTAAAGCTGCAAACTCGAGGATCAAGGTACCAGCACAAGCTGTACAGGTATCAGTTTCTGTTCCTGTCCGTGCTTCTGGATGTCTTACACCAAATTTTAAGTTAACCTGGAGAAAAGCAGAGGTTATCATCTTTATTTTTACTCTTGTAACTCTTGAGAATTTACACTCTTCTTCTAAAGACAAGAAAAAAAAAAACAACCACAGAGTCCTCTTCAGTTTTGCTTTGCTTTTACCACCTACTGTCAACTCAAATGCACAGAATATTATCCAGAAGTACCCAAAACACTCAACCCTCCCAAACAAGGACCTGCTGCCTTGTTCAGGAAACATCTCAATAACACAATGCACCCTGAAAACCTCATTCTAGCAATTAATATTTACCAGGAACTCAGAATGCCACAAGTGCTCTTGGGAATCAAGCTTTGTGAACATCTCACTATCCTGGCTCCAGAAAACACCTGTAATTCCTCAGCTTTTGATTTTCTGTCCGCTTAACAAATCCAAAAATGGTTTTGGAAACAGAGATAAAACCAGAACAGCAGAAGTAATGCTGCATGACAGAAAGCAGAGAACTTACCCTTGGGTAAGGGAGACCACTAGTGGTGTTGAAGGCAGGTAAAAGCTTGTAGCCCAGCTCCTTTGCCATGTGCAGGAGTTCACCGTTGTACCACTGCATGTATTCACCTTTCTCTTTCAGCATAATTGCCACTGAATGCCCACCTAGGAGACCTCTGAACACAAAGAAAAATTATGCCCACCTCAAAAGGGACGTTCATCTGAAGGGCAGGACAAAGATCTCTGCCATGTGGATGACCATGTGCATAACTGTGCTATATTCACACAGCCCTAGTTTTCAGATGGCTGATGCAATTCCCTTTATAATCAAGGTTAGATGCTGGAATTTTGGAAGCCATTCTTACTGTTTATCAGTCCTGAGCGGTAGAGGAATTACTGACTCAGCAGTATTTGTCAGGAATAACAACCACACACTCTCAAACTGCATATAATGACTAAAGTTACACGCTGTGATCCTGCATTGAGCACCAGAGGTCCCCTCCACCCTGAAATAATCTACCAAATAATCTACCACCCCAAGTACTGAAATCTGTTAAATCAAGTGTTCAGAGCCATTTGTAAGCCTGTTTCCAATAAGAAAAAACACTGTTACCTCAGCAAGCACAATTCTTTTTTGAAATGGGAAAAGCTGTGGCTGCAGGGCCAGTTTGATCCAGTGCCACTGCAGCGAGTCCTGCCTCGCATTTCAAACCCTCTCAGGCAAACTGAGAAAGGCACAACACCTTCAAATGATGTGGAACAGCACAGGAATGGATGTCTGAAGGACATTTACCTAAAGCCCACCTTTCAAAGAGTTTTAAAAATGAATGTTACTCACCCAAGGACTCTGATGTTGGTTTCAAAGACAGACACAACTATGTCGTTATCTAAGTTAACGTCCTTTATGACTTTTTTTACAGCCTCTTCAAACTCTTTGGTTTTATTTAACACCTGGAACACAAGTGGAAGCAGGTGTTAAGTTCCAACATAGCTAATACAGTCACAGGCTATTTACGTACAGCACATTTAAGTGCACAATAAAGTCATCCATGAAATATGTATATAAAATTTAAAACCATAAATTAATCAGTGGTATTAAGGGGTGTCCCACAATAACTCTGCATGTTTCTTTAGGCTCTAACATGAGAAGGAAATTTACATACTTGTTTGTTAAGTTAAAGCCTCCAAAAAGCAAGATAAAAAGTATCAATGACACTTGAAGGAACTGTTGCAGTTTTTTTTACAGCCAACTCCAAACTTGGCTCTCACAGCACTTGAAAGTTCTTACAAGCAACACTCACTTCAAACAGAGAGCCAGAGATCAACGATCAAGGAAAAGAAATCTAAAAATAAGTCTGAGCATCACAAGACAACCTTTTTGTTTTATCAAAGTTTACCAACTTAACCACTTAGATTAAACTTACCACAAGAGTGTCCAAGGTGTCAATCAAGGTCAGCGAAAACCTAGGAAAGGAAATTTAAAACAGATTTAATATAGACCTGTAGGTGTAGAAATTAAGTAATTTTTAATAGTAACTGATACCACGGAAAAAACTAAATTCTTACAGACCACTGGGTGCTAAAAAATGAGTTGTACACAATCTGTTTAATATCAAAAGACCATTTTAAGTTTCTTCTGTTGATTAGTGACCAGAGTAGGAGTTCACTGAAAGCTGTGATTAGACAGACCTTCATTAACTGCAAAGCTTTCTAACCTCTTGTAAGCAAATTTCATTTTTATTAATAGTTTCAAATCAAATCTAGCAAGAAACCCAAGAAAACGGTTTGAAGTCTTCCTCCAACCTTTGTTTTACTTCGTTTTTCAAAAACAGGAAGAACGTTGAGAATCAAACTAAAAGACTGTTGAGATTCAAGCTAAATTTCTCCTGCCAGGAACTCTTCCAACAGTAGCAAGGGGTAGGTTTAAAATAAAGAACTACTTTACTGTCTTTAAAATAAAGAACTACTTCAGCAGTGCCCAAGGCCAGGTTGGACGGGGCTTGGAGCAACCTGGGGTAGTGGAAGGTGTCCCTGCCCATGGCAGGGGGTGGAATGTGATGAACTTTAAGGTCTTTTCCAACCCAAACCATTTAGGATTCTATGGTTATTCCATAAAAAAAAAAGAGAACATCAAGTCAGATCCACGTGGTTTCAAACAGGAATATCACAATAAGACTCCTAGAGTTTCTCCAGGGCTGTTCTAGTGCATCCCAAGCTGAGTGGGCCTTTCCCCTACCCCAGTAATTATAAGTGTATCTTACATAAATCTAATTCCAACAATTGCTCTATGTTTAATGTTAAAGAACACACCACACATTAAATAGAATTTACAGAGCTCGATGGTGTCAGAACTGAAAACTCTGGAACCAGTTAAAGCTGCCAATTAAAGAGTGAGCACCGAGAATTTAAGCAGGTATCCCACGTTTGAGACCCTGCAGGCAAACAGGTGACTACTGAAATCCTAATTAAGAGCTGCTATATTACAATTCTCTTTAATTAGCAAAAACATAAAGGCGAGTGTTGTTCTACAGGAGGCAGTGATTGATTAACAAGTGGCCAAACACAACTGTCTGACAGATACACAGCTTTCTGCATGGAAAAGGAGGGAAAATGTGCATTCCACAGCTACAAAGCTGGTGTGCCAGTCCCCTCCTGAGCTCTCCAGGGGGGCAGAGCTGACCCAGCTGCCTCACCCTGGCACTTGTGACTGCAAAGGCTTGCAGAGAACATGACTCATGAGGCAGCTGGCAAGAGAAAGGGTTAGATAAGAAACCCGGTAAATCGTAACAGAAATAATTATAAGGTGCAGAATAAAGCATATATACAGGAAAATAATAAATAAATAGGCTACTTGCTGCACCTAAGGGCCTGAAAGGGAATTTTACTCAAATGATAGTATGTTATGATGTCAAAAAAAGGTCATCGGGACTAAAAATACGTTTTCTTGACAATTCTTTTTCATCTCTCAATACCTTCAAGCAGCAGGTTTATACAGAAATTTCTAGACTAAGGAACTTTTGTACATAACAAAAATAACCAAAATAACATGCTAATATTATTGAGACAATTAGAAGTAGTGTTTAAAACAAGAACTTCAGCTCTGATATAAATGTGTAATTAAGTATTTCCTCTACAAACTGCACACACACAAAAGAATCATTGGCTTCGACTGTTCCATTTAACATGGAGGAAAAGTCCTTAGATCTACATTTTTGTGGCCAAAGGGTCAGTACTTTCTATTCTAAGCCACCTAAGAACATGAAGTATATTCATGTCTGAAATAATGTTTTATGCTTTGGCAAAGGCCTCAGGGTACCACACACATGATAATCATTTGACTATTTGTTTTCAGAGAACTTTCTACTTAAAAAAAGGCATTTTAAGTATCACCCATAAGGCCAGCATCATGGATAGCAGCTTATTGTTCAACTGATCATTAACCCTTATGACCTCTAATATGAATACCATTGGCATCAGCTCACATTTGGAAGGCTTTCCTGCAGAAAATACTTGGAAAATGGTTGAAAAAAAAAATTATTATAGGATCTGCTGAGTTGGAAGGGGCCCATTAGGATCATCAACTCCAACTCCTGTCCCTGTGCCGGACACCCCAAGAAATTCTCTTTGGATCTCGTTCACTGGTCAATTCTGACGTCACATTATTTAACTTCACGGGAGGAAATAATCCAAGTATTTCTTACAAGTGCAAGTTTCTGGACATGCCAACCGAACAAACAAGTTTTATGGGCTGCAAGTTGTACTCAGATTAGATGTTTACAGGAGCAAGTAACCATTTCAAACACTGACTTTCCCAAGGCATCATCCACGTCCCCTCGACTCGGCTCCTGACCCCGGACTCGACCACGACACGTTAAAGGCATGAGTTCATCAGCGGGATACGCGTGTTCCTGTGGGGGACAAAACCAGGGAAGGAGTTACACTGGTCACAGCCTTAACCCTTCTGTGAAGGGATCTTAAGTATGTTGTACTTCACAAAAACTGCATGGCAGTCACAGAGGCTTCGAGGTGGGAAGGGACCTCTGGAGCTCATCTTGTCCGACCCCTCTACTCAAGCCGGGCCACCCAGACCCGCCTGGCCAGGATTGTGTCCAAACAACTTCTGAGCATCTCCAAGGAAGGAGAATCCTTTGGGCACCTTGTGCCAGCCCCTGGTGACCTGCACAGTGAAGAAGTGTTTCCTGCTGTTTGTGTTTGTGCCATTTCCTCTGAGCACCACTGACAAGAGCCTGGCTCTGTCACCTTGACACACTCCTGAAATCTGGAAGGTCCTTGGAGCTTTCTCTTCCCCCCAGGCTGAACAGCCCCAGCTCTCTCAGCTTTTAAACCAGGAACAAACCAAACAGCACCTCTTTTATTCTCTAAGCTCCTAGAGCAGTCTGGAACAACTAATGGCACATCCAGGGAAAAAAAATAAGCGTCGTTAATGGTGTGCTTTCTGCAATGAGGCACATGTGACACTTCCTATAAAGCTACCACCTCAAAGATGAGTTTAAACTCTAAAACTAATGCAGGCATTATCAAGTGGCCGGTATTTAATGGAGGATTTAGTGGGAATTTGACTTAAAAGGCACTTTGGAAACACTTCCCAATGAACATAAAGTGGCCCAGGGTGACAATCAGTGACAGGTCAGAGAACACAGAAATTAAAGCAGTAAATCAGTGAACTACTACATAAGACATAAAAAACATAACACTCACCAAAAAAAAAAAGCTTAACAAATTGAGTCTTTTTCAAATAGAACTGACACTAATATAACAAATATAAACTGGCATTAATAAAGACGAATTTTGAAGATCTATAATTCCAACAAACGTGCACGAAATTGCCTCTCCATCAGAAGCTCAACTCAAACAATCTGGGATGAAGCTTCTCTTTGATTTCATCAGGAACTGGCTGCTATACTGTGCTCTCCAATTTGAATTTTAGTGGAGAACTTAACATGTGGCAGGATAAAAAACTCCAATTACCGCACTGAAACTGCAAGCAAACACATTCAAAGTATTTTCAAATATATGGTACAAAAATAATCTATATTCAAACATGAAATAAAAAGGAACATTCCTCTATAAATAAACAGCTCTTACAGCCACTCCTTTTGAAACTGATGGTTTGTCTCCCTGTATACCACCCTCCTGAGTGTTTTGGTCTTTGCAACTCTTTGTTCTCCTCAAGTTCAACTACAAAAACCAGAATCTAGATCATTTTAACACAGCTCAGATGTTTCTGAACATCCTGCAAAGTATTCAGAAAAACAGATTAAAGAAGTACACGACAAAAGCAAAGTCAAAACTGAGACCTCTGGTTTAAATTATGGAGAGAGGAGTCATAAAAATTCTGGAGAAAATGGACTCTTAGTTTATAAAATCATAAGGAACTGGAAGCATTTTTAAAAAATAAAAGTTCACTTATTCCCTGCATAGAGTCAGAAAGGCTACTGGATCAAACGGTTTCCCACCTTGTCCCTGGCCTCAAATAACTGACATTTTCACATGTTCTTTCTGACAGCCAAGAAGAATGATTACTACAAATACTGCTGAAGGACTGGACAAAAAAAAAAAAATAACCAAACAGCAGCTTTTTACTCAAAGCTTCTGTTTCCAAAAAAAAAAAAAAAAAAAAAAAAAAAAAAAAAAAAAAAAAAAAAAAAAAAAAAAAAAAAAAAAAAAAAAAAAAAAAAAAAAAAAAAAAAAAAAAAAAAAAAAAAAAAAAAAAAGGGGAAAAAAAGGGAGTTTCCCTTGCAAGCAACAAGCAAACATGAATTTTCAGTCTTCTAAACACGCATGTCTGAAATCCTTATTAATAGAAACAGAAAATCAAAACTTTTTCAGCTGGCTCTTTCAAAAGCACCTGCAAAAGTACTTAATTCTCTTGCTGTCAGAGCCGGGTCTGACACCCTAATCTTTTCCTCAGCTTTAAACAAACAAGTCACATTTCTCTGTTTGTTTTGTGCTCCAGTATACGTGGCACGTCCACATCCTTTTGGCTCTGAAGTTTCCAGGATAGCTGAAGTTATTCCTCTTTCAGCCCCAATTTTCTGGCTTCAGTTGCAGCAAGAACCGTGTTGAGTCGCCTGTTTATCACACAGTGAACAGTAGGAGCACAGATCCTTGTGGTATTTTTAAGCAGTTTTGCCAAGTGCATTAATTTTTCCCTCAGGGAAACCCAAGCCAAGTGTTTTTCATGGAATCAGGTCCCAAGTAACTAAATTATCCCCAAAAGCCTAATGTTTGTTAAACTGCTAGAGGTGGCAAAAGTATAAAGCTAATGACACAAACTACATCCATTCTCTCCATTCCAGGGCCCTGGACCTCTCCTGTGCTGCACAAACTTGTAACTCCCAAGTTTTTAAGCTGGTATTACACAATAAAGTGTTCAACCACGACACAGAAGCTGGGACATGTGGCAAGATGCTGCCAGGAGACAGAGGTTGTTTGTGCTGCAGGAACTGGTGCAACTTGAGGGGTTTCTGCAACACCCACAAAGAACATGCAAGACTGTCAACGTGAAGTCAGTAAAAATGCATCTTTTCTATTTATCTGAATCACATCTGCAGTTTCTCCTCAGGAGTGTGTTACTTAGAGCATATTGAGACTAACTATTACTTGAGGCAAGTCCACTCTCAGTAATTCTTTATTCTTTAGCAGGTCTAAACCAGGTCGACTGAATTTCAGGGTGGGTTAGAACAGCTCACAGATCCAGCACGTGGGGACACCTGCACAGAAAATCACCAGTCCGAGCAAAAGAAACCATAGTGAGCATGACTTTGGGTCAGATGACACTCACATGGTCAGCAGAGCCTGTAATGCCTGGATATGACACCACATCCCCTTTCTGGTGTTTGTAAAAGAGTCACCAAACTGCACCTGACACGCCTGGCCACTCAAAAAATATTATATGGCATTTTCACCTACAAAATAAGTGAGATCAGATAGTGAGATCACATAGTTATCTGCAATCCGATGGCTACAGCTCTTCCTGAGCTTCCTTTTCCTACCAGTTTTAGGAGCCTGGAATTTCAAACCAAACACTTTACTGAAGATGAGAACTGTTGAAAACATAAGATAAACTGGTCTGGGAAAGATCAGAGATCTTCCCAAGAGATCGGAGCACAGATTAGGAGAGTTAACCACAGTCAATTCTGAGTTACCTCCCCCCTCCAAAAGCCACCACAACCCCTCCTGACACTGCTCTTCCTGAAAGTACCATTTGTTCATGTCTTTTTAAAGGCTGTACAGGTGCTGTTATTTATTTTAGCTTTGTTTTCACCCCTCCCTCCCGGATACTCCTCTAGAATGTCATGTACTGTGGGCTAATAGCAACAACTCCTCTGGCCAACATCAGACAAGTATTTTACTTACCATATAATTGCTATATGCATGATCAAACATTTCAAGCACTTGATTCCTGGAAAAAAGAGAAAAAGCAAAAGCATTAGTGGTCTGTCTCCCAACGGCCTTTAATGCACCATCTCAGATGTATCACACTTTAGTATCTGCTTGAATATCAGTAACAGGCCCTTTACAAACACACTCTGCTCAAGTAAATGTGATATGGCACAGTGTTTTTTCCTAATTAAAAAAAAAAAAAAAAAAAAAGAAATGGCAAAAGCACGTTGGTTTTTTGAGAGACAGCTTTACTTCCAGGCATTCCTAACTGTTTTACTCAGGAGCCCTGCAAGCAAAAGAGCATGCTAATTCTACCATCAACACAATTCACAATCTCTGCTGATAAGACTCAACATAAAAGAGCCCAGAACACTGCAATTATACTGTAAATATTCAATTTAGTTCAGTGACTTGGAAATTTGAGAAGCAGCTTTAACTCATCAAGTCATCAGCAGAGCAGAGGATGGTGCTTTTTCCAGGTGCTTCACAGGGTCTGGGATCTGCAAGCAGCAGACAAAGCCCCAGATGAACTAAGCACACACAGTTCCATTTACTGGGCATTTTCTAGGACTGACATGATCCTGTCATTAAATAAATATACAGATTACCTTATTCAGAAGCGACCCCAAATACAAACCACGGCAGGACCTGACCTTGCACATCCCTGGGGCATCAGATGATATTTTAAAGTGCGAGATATTAACGCAAAAATTCCAAAACCAATCAGAGAAAGGAATTAAAACTCCTTGTGCAGCCACGTGAAGAAAAATATAAAAAGATTATACATATGAAGCGCCCCGAGAACACAAAACGGGAAACTCCAGCAACTGCAAACACTGGAGTTAAATATCAACTTATATTTGATGCCTGGACTTGATGGTATTGGAGGTCTTTTCCAACCCGAGGGATTCCATGATTAACAGCCAGGAGAGTACCCAGAGCGCTTCTCCAGCAGGTTTTTTTGCATGGTTACTCTGTGCCACCGACCAGGGGATGATGAAACCGCCCCAGTAACATACCAAGATCGAGATACGCTTGATTACAAACTTCTTTTACAGAACCCCCACTTAATGCAGGGAAATACACACCCAGCTGTGCCGTAACCTTTACCCCTCGCTAAAAAGTACACCAAAAGAGAATCGGGGTCTGACGTGTACATGCACGGCTTAGCTCACACACACAGGAACTCGGCAGGAACACGTATAAACATTTACCTTTTTTATGACTCCCGCACTCTCAGGGAGGCAGGGCCGCCGCTAAACCAACCGAGGGCGGATTTGGAGCTACCTTTGATCGCTTTTACCCCCAGTTCCACGGGAGCCGCCGGCTCAGCCCTCCCGGACCAGGCGCCAAGCGCTTGCGAGCAGTTTGCTCCTGGAGCGCATGGAGCGACCCCCGAGCAGCCCCGGGAGCCCGGCGGGGCCGGTGCCACCCCGCCCCGGATCCGGGGACAAGGGACACGTCCCCGGGGCTCCGCGCCCGCCCCAGCCCCGCTCAGCCCCGCCGTCCCGTCCCGTCCCCTCCCCGCGGCCCGTCCCGCCGCTCACCCCAGCCGGCGCTTCTCCTCCCTGCTCATGGCCCCGGCGCCCGGGGCGGCCGCCAGCACGGAGGAGGCGGAGAGCAGGCCGAGGGCCAGGAGCCTCCAGGGCCGCCGGCAGCGGGCGGCGCGCTCCGCGGCGCGGCAGGGCGGCGGCGCGCTGGGGGCCATGGGGGGCCCCGTGTGGCGGCGGTGCCGCTACTCCCGCTGCCGCTCCCTCTCCCGGTGCCGCTCCCGTTCCCGGCCCATGGCGCTGCCGCCGCTCCCGCAGGGCCCGGCCCGGCCCCGGGGGCGTAGCCAAGGAAACCGCCTCGCGCCGCCGCCGCCGCTTCCGGGGCCGCCGGGCCAATGGGGGAGCGCGGCGACGTGGACAAAGGGGAGGGGCGGACTACAACTCCCGGCGTGCACCGCGCCCCGCCACGGACCACAACTCCCGGCGTGCACCGCGCCCCGCCCCGCCCCGCCCTCCGCCGGGCACGGAGTGTGCGGGGAAATCTGGGAATGGCTGGAGTTCCAAAGATCCTCTGAATATTCCTGCCGCCGTTAACAATGAGCACCTCCCAACGCTTCAGCAGCGCCCGCGTTTCAGGCGTTTTGTGTGAGTTTAACCGTGGTGTGCAGAGCGCAGTCATAGCCAAGTAGATTAATAAAGGTGCCAAATTAATACAGAGTAGGAAGCTGAAACTCCAAATAGCGATTCCGAGCTTCCAGAGCTAAAGCTGATAACAAATAACAAGCGTTTACAACGCTGCGCTTTCCACCCGTGCGATAGCACACAAACAAACACGTCTCGGGGATGGTCTGTCTGAGATGGAAATACTGAATTAGAATAAAAAACGAGGGAGAAGAGGCGTGGAATTGTATCATCGTATCATCACAGAATCCCAGAATGGTTTGGGTGGGATGGGACCTTAAAGCTCATCTAACTCCACCCCCTGCCATGGACAGGGACACCTTCCACTTCCACTCCAACCTGGCTTTGGACGTTTCCAAGGATGGGGCAGCCACAGCTTCTCAGGGAATTCCATCCCAGTCCTTCACCCCCCCTCTCACAGGGAAGAATTTCTTCCCAGAACCTAATCTAAACCTGTTTGAAGCCATTCCCCCTCGTCCTGCTCCTTATAAAAACTCCCTCTCCACCTTCCTCACACGCCAGGACGCTCCTCCCTCACCCTGGGGTACCTTTGTTTAATATTAAACGCCTCCAAATCATCACGCACTCACAAAACCAGCCTCCCAGCAGTGGAAGGGAAGAGCGCCTTTATTTCCACGACAAGCGTCTTCTTTGCCAAGTTCCAAGCGAAATACAGGTGGTGTTTCACGTCCTGGTCGTTGCCAGTCCAAGGAAACCCCCACCCCTCAACCCCGCTCCCCTCGGGGCACCCTCACCCCATCCTGCCCCTGCCAGGCGATTTTTTTTTTTTTTTTTTTACTGCTCTCAGTGTGCGAGTGAAGTCATTAATTCCAGGGATGTGTAGGAAATTCCAAGAGAGCTACAAAAATAAAAAAAAAAAAGACGGGATGGGTGGGTTATCATCATTTTTGACCGGTGGTCCGATGCAACCTCGCAGATTTCTCTGAGCTCGAAACGGCTGTCGCCTCCACCCAAGTCTGGTAAAGGCAAGAAAATGCTACTTTATCCATTTTTGGACAGAAGATGTCCAAAAAGGGGAAAAAAAAAAAAAACCAGTCTCCTATCCATGAGGAGCTCCAATTTAAACTGCAAGAACCAGGCGATGTGCAGGCTGAATCTTCCCTGTCCTTCCCTGCCTGCTTGTGAAAAACCTCCGAGCACCCGCTTTCAGGAACTCAATTCACATTACAGGAAAATATTACCCAGATCTAAGCCTGCCACAGAAATAACTCAAAAATTACCACGATGGGAATATTTATTCTGAAGGCTCTCTGTACAGATGTGTCTAATTCACACTAGAATGAATTAGTTTCCTTTTGCAGGACACTGCAGTCTTTTTCACCATCATGTTACTTGTCTTTTTCACAAAAAAAAAAGCATTGAAAACCCATTAAAACCCCTAATTCTAGCTAAAAGAGGCTGCTCCTGCTTAACTCTATAGCACATGGTATAAATTTGAAGTCGCTTAGCACTCAGTACCAATTAAAAATAGTTAATGATTTGTAAAAACAAAGCAGCTGACAGTGAAGTAAGTAATGATTTGTTAAAAAAAAAAAAAATTGGCAGTGGTTTGTGTGCTTACAAATTAGTATTTTTGCATGAGATATAGGGAGGAAACGAGTCAAAAATCCTTCTGCAAGGAAAACATCTGCGACCTTCGTGCTTCCATACCACAGTATGGCTTCTGGAATAAATAGGAATTGCATTTATTTTACAATAGTGACAGAGAAGTTAGTCCAGTTACTCAACAGTGTTCCTTTCTTACACAGTAATATTTGCCTGTTCCTCTAGTGTCAATTCTGTTAGTATTAAGAATATTTTGATAGCATTAAAAGGCTTTGCAGTCCGTTGAAGTTAAATGCCAACGTGTATTATGCTCCCGGGACTTTATTATTTCTTCCCATGTCTTTATGGGCATAAATCCTGCAGTCCTTTCCTGTATTTGTCATTAATCTTTGCTGTCCTGTACTGTGAGATTTTCAGAAACAGCCTGAAACACGGGGCCAAAATTTTAAGGTGCCTTAAATTGACCTCTGAAGTGAGGTCTTGCACTTTGAAGCTCAATTTATTAAAATGCTGGGTTTCATTTCCAAGCTTTTCTGTGCACAGTCCATAAACTTAAATGCAATAACACATACAAGCAACTGCATGCCTAGATCATGGTTTGATATGGATGGTATGTATGGAAACAACTGTCTCCTTTTAATAACTGCTTTTTTAATGTGATTCTGCCCTCCAAAATCTAAGCATATGTAATAAACTTTGGCTGCTCTTCACTTCAGTTAACCTCTCTATGAGAAATTACATGCAATGATTATGATATTTCACAATCATTGCAACTTAATTTCATGATTTCCACACTTTAAAAGGCCTACAGAAGTGGGTAACTCAGTAGGAGTGGGAATGGCAGGACTCAATGTTGTGTATTAGAAAGCTGTAAGTGAATCTGTTTTATGGTGGGAATTAAACCAGACAGGTGATGATAATGGTTATTGTAAACGTTCTCATCTCCTCCTTCCATAAAATAAAACAAAATAAAATAGCAGTAAAGTGCTCTGGAAGGCTAAATAAACCCAGAAGTGCACAGTGGGACTGAGAAACCTGCTCCCATACTTTCCCCATTTTAAATATAGCAATAAGAGAAAAAAAAAATTAAAAAAAGAAAAAAAAATCAGAACATGTGCTTGTCTTTAACATCCACCAAAACTTGAAAATAATTAAGTGTGGCTTTTGAGCAACCTACTAAATTAACCATTGGGTTCTGTTTAACTACAAAAAGATTGATTTATTTCCTGTATACTGCATGCAGATACTAAAAGCACCCTCGAGTATGTATGTACCAACCACCAGGATCAGAGCAGTACTTGTCAAATCCATGCACTGAAAAATCAAGAGCAACACTAAGAACAGTGAAGCTGTTAAAATAAACTGATGATAGCTGGGAGTGACTCGCTTTTGAAGCATTCAGTGGTCACATTTTTGGACTTAAACTGCAAAAGGGAGCCAATTTGAAGTGAAAGATGAGGTTTCTCAGCAGTAACCTGGTTTTAAACCAAAAAGAAGCCCATCACCCATCACTCAGGAAGGGATCTGTGGGAAACCTGAAAGAGCTGGAGATCCCACAACAAAGCCCATTTCCTCTAGCTCCAACCCTAAGGAGCATTCACAATCAAACAGGGATTGCTGGAGTAAATAAATCCCGCAGGGCTGGGCCGAAAAACACTTCCTACTCTTCCGAGTTTTGCTGTGCACAGCTATCTTCTCTGTTTTCTTCTGTGAGGGTATCTTTCACTTCTGTGCTTTGGATTTCCGTGTGTGAAGATGATTCATCTCCTGGCTCCCCCTCGGCCCCACCAGCCCCTTTATCTCCCGTGACCTTTAAAGCAGCGTTAACCTCGTGCTGCTGTGGCACCAAAGAGACCGGCTCCAGCAGTCCTGCTCCTGGGTTCTCCATATCCAAAATGGCCATTTCTGTGGTGTCTGCACGTCCAGCAGCGCTCTGAGAGGAGCTCTGTGTCCCCACCTCCACGGGGATGGCGTGGCTATTCCCTGCTCCTCCTTCCTGCCCGGCCAACCTTCTGCCTTCCCGCGCGTTTCCCGTGGGTTCGTCCGGCTGCAGCCTCTCACTCCCGCAGCTTCCCACGCCTGTGTACCACACGCTTTGCTTCATCCCCACCTCTGCTTTTGCCTCCTGAGGCGGGTCTGAGCTTTCCACCAGCCACTCTGCTTGTGCCCCCCTGGACACGCTCTCTAATCGTGTACCCTCTGTCCCCAAACACGAGGACGGTCTCTCCTCCTTGAGTCCCACACCTTCTGCTGCATCTTCGCTCCTCATCGTCTGGCTCCCCTGGATTTCTGCCACAGCCACTTTGCTCAATTCACTGTTCCCTCCGCTGTCCTCTTGCAGCTTTAGTATCTCCCCCTCACAGATCTCCCTTATGTTCTCCTCTGGCGTATCTGCTGGTACCTCAACCGACACCATCAGCAAACTCCTTATCTCGTTCACATCATCAGGGGATTTACAACTCTTTTTTTCCAACGTGCTTTCTTTTTCAGGGTTATCCCCCAACCCTCCTTTCCCCGTGTTTCCATGCTGGGAAACAACCCTTTCCTCTGTACTTGCTCCTTGCTCACTGCTTCCTTTTTTACCATCCTCTTCAAACCCTGCTCCTACTGCATTTTCACTCTGAGATAATTTTTCCATCATTTCTTTTTCTACCTCACTTTTCTTTTCAGCATTCCCTGGAATCTCTGCTTCTGTTACACTCTCATGTGGGGACGTCAGCTTTATCTCCAAAACTTCTTCCCCTGCTTTGCTTTCTTTCTCAGTGGCACTGACAAGTGCAGCATCCCTCGCCATTTGACTCTCCAACGTTTCCTTTTCCTCCGCTGCTCCTTTGGGTACCTTAGGTTCTTTTTTAGGGCTGGATCCGAAATTTTTCACTGCAGCGTCAGTCCCAGAAGCTACTTTTTCCTCCACAGCTTCTTGTGGCGCCTGGAGTTCTCTCTCAGCATCCATCACACGCTCTGGTTCATTCCCCACGGCGCTTTTCCCCTCCGCCACTCCCCGTTTTGTGCGGTCAGCTGGAGGGGACTCCTCTTTCTCACCGGCGTCTGTAACAACCCCTGCTTCACTTCTGCTGCGATCACCAGCTGCATTACGAGCTGCCTCTTTGTCTGATGACTTCCCTTCCTCGGCATCCTTCTCCCAGGCGATCTTTCCCGTCACGACGAGCGTCTCGTCCCCCTGGCTCTCCGTGTCCGACACCTCTCCTCGGGCGGCCGAAGGTTTCTTGGCAGGGGTGGTCTGTGCTGAGCCCGAAGGGGTCTTCGGCTCTGCCAGGCTGGACACGCTCTCGCAGGGCAAATTCAGGTTGTCTTCAAAGAGGTTGTGCTTCTTCAGAACGGCAGCTTCTTTTATCACTAGAGAAAACAGAAAGGCAGACTGTTTCGGAAAGGCTCTCAGAGGGACACGGAAGAAGGCACAGTGTTTTCCCGAGCTTATGTTTGTCCATTTTGATGTTACAGACAACAGTAATTTTCATTTTTGACTTGCTTTTAGCTCACATTTCTTTTTCTGGGGGCGCTGATTTTATTTGTTTTAATTTGTGGCGCTTCAATATTGACCTAAGCAGTTCTGAAACAGAAAGCTACCAGAGGACCCACAATTCACAAAGGTGATGCTTCACTGCAGAAGGATTTACACTGAACATGTGAGTAAGTGTGTCCCTGTTACATTAATTATTAATTATTTTATCCAGGGTACAGACAGAAGGCAGACCCAGAGAGATACAAGTATTTTGTATGTATTTATACTTCCATATATAATATTTATTATGAATAGTTTGGTTTTCTGACACAAAAGCAGAGGGTGCTGCACTGGCATCAGTGAGCTACTGCAAAGTGCATCCAGCAGCTCATTTCATTTGGGGAAATTAAGTTTTGCTGCCATTACTCTTCGTAATAGTCTTAGTCTTGCAGTTGGCCCAGTCTTGCCATTTAGTCATCACCAAGTCTTTGCAAATAAGGGCATAGTTTCCCCCCACCCCTGGCCCAGGGAACTGAGGTCAAATGAAGTTGGCATAATTACGTTTTGTTAGAGAAAGGCTTGTGCCAAGCTATCACTTCGAGTTTCCCAGGTTAATAAAGTTGATAATTCAGATTTTAGGGCTTGCCACACATATTTAGTGAGCTAAATAGTGTCTTGGGGAAAGTGGGGCCAGGGTCTGAAACAGCCAGGGGAGGGCTCTGGGAAGCTCTGAAGGAAAAGCTTATGGGCTGCAACGTCATTACTGTCACCTCAAGGCTGTTCTCACCTTTCAGGGCCTCTTCGAGCAGTGTCTGGTATAAAATCTCTTCATACACATTCTCTACTTGGATCACACTCGTGTAATCAGCGAAAATGTACTGCTCATACTTCTGCAGCTCCTGTGGAGAAGAAAGGAACAGATATAAAAAAAACCCCAGGGATTCTGAGAGCTCTGCAGCAATCAAACACCTTGGAGATCCACCCGGCAGGTCTTGTGATGCTCCGTTTGAACTCTGACCAAATACCTACGTATGTCCACAATCTGTTGTGTGCTTATCAAACAGTATTCCTGCAGTACAACCACATGTAAAAGCCACTACAGATCACTGCCAACCTGAAATAAACAGCTGCTGAGGGAATGCCTCGCTAACTTGTTTGTCCAAGGAGGCAAATGCGCGGTGCACGGCAGATACAAGGGTTTGGTTTTGTTTTTCTTGTAGGTGTGTAACGCTTTTAGCTCAGCGATTTGTATACAAAGGCTGTCTGGGCAATAACTGAATCATTGTTCTTAAGAAGCTGCCTGGTGGTCTATAAAAAGTAAATCAGGTGACCTTCCAGAAGAGGCTCCTGAATAAAAACACCTGGAGATTTTCAAGGGAAGGGTCAGAACTTGGCTGGGCCTGTCAACTGTGCCTCACTTTTACTTCCAGAGCTGGCTGCTCATTTATGCAGAGGCACAAAACACAAAAGGCTTGTGGGAAATCAAACAGAAAGGGGCTTGTGGGAAGTTTGCACCACCACAGCTCCCTCTGTCCTGTAGGACAGAGACATGAGCTGTCTCCACAGATATTCCAGGCGATGAAATGCTTGTCCCTGTGCACACACACCTGTCACAGAGGCGCTGCTGACACTCTACAAGAAACCATTATTTTGGGGACAGTAAGGAAAGCAGAGGGACATATAGAACAAGAGTGGTTTTAAAGATATTCTTGGAAGTTTGAAGTTTTAGTGTTCCATAATTTAAAGAACTTGCAAGCACAACTTGGCAAAATACTTGGTTTTGAAACTGAGACAAGCTGGAGAGCAGAAAGGAGAGCAGCACACGTGGGTGAGAGCTCCCAGCATCCAGGAATGGATGGGCATCAATGGAAACAGAAAGGCAGGGAGGGTGGGATGGCTTAGGCAGGTACAGTGACAATGCAAGAGGGCACTCACGGGCTTCCTGAGGGTTCAGACTATTTGTTCTGAGCCAAGGGGAACAGCACTCCAACAGGCCCCTGATGCTGCCACACTGATAACATCTACCATCTCCCCCAGACTCTGGCAGCCACATCTGCTGACTACTGACATACCCTGTATGATTCAGGGCATCAGACATCATCTCTGTGTGATTATTTCTTGTTTGTTGACTCAATACTGCCATTTAAAAGCACTGAAAGCAAGGGCATGGCCTTGGCCGTGGCCCAATCCATGAACTGGCACATCTAAGCCTCCTTTGGCCAAGCAAGCAGCCAACCTGAACAGCTCTCTGGGAGAAAACAGCTACAGTGTTAAGGACTTACTGACAAGGCATTGTTCCTTCCCTGCCTTTTATTATTATTGGGGTTGGGCATTTTTAATCCCAGAAACCTACTGGTTTGCATGTTGAAGCCAGGCTCTTCTGCATTGTGGGCAGGGTAATCTGTACCAGCGCTTCTTGGAATATCTTCTTCCTGATAGTGCTGCTGTCGTAGTCGTATTGCTGTCAGAACACAGAGCAGAAACAGGCCCAGACGTGCTTGGGGTTATTAATCACTCACAGGAGGAACTGGTTCTTGTTATCCTGTAACTGGTGCATCACAGGTGCACTCAGGGGTTTGAACTGCCACGCAGGTTATTCCAGCTTTTGCAAAACCCACTCTAAAATCTAGATTTCTGGCATCTCTTTCCATTCTTTTTGTTTTTTCAATACCTAGGCTAGAAACAGCCCCTGATTGACCCCCCCCCCCCCAGGTATTTCAGCACTGCCTTTTCCTAGAGAAATAAATTCTAGGGGCAGGCTGATTATACAGTTAATTAAAACCTTTATATCTGGATTCACAGCATCATACTGCACACGCAAGTACTTTTAGAAGGGTCTGCCCAGAACTGGGTGTTACCCCTCAAAGGAGTAGTTTGCTCCATGCCACTGAATAAGTATTTTCAGCTGGTTGGGTAGGAGAGATATCTCCTTTCAATTACAGAGCTAAATTCACATAAAATATATTCCCTTTTCCTAAAAAGGCAGAACCCAAGGACTTCTGGTCCAGAAGTGCTACACAAAGTTTACCTTCAGCACCCTCAGCTTGACTTTTTCGAGGGTTGTTGCCACTTTGGCCGAGTCTGCCTGGTGACTTGGAGAGAACAGCTGCTCAAAGGTGTAAACTGCATTTTCCATCAGCTAAAAAGAACCATTGAAAAGATCTGTTAAAGACCAATCACATAAAATTCATGCAAACATGATAAATGGAACCTAAAGTTAACTCAACTTGTGTTTTTGAGGAGGTGAAACAGAGAAAGAATAAAGGGCCCAAGATGGATAAATATTTCAAGTACTTTAAACGATTGTGGAAGGGGTAGGAAAGCCTCGTTTAGTTTAGATTGCAACGCTCAGTTTTGGAACGGGAAACCATTCAGTTCTCTGAAGGGCAAGGGGCACTGAAAATGCTGCAATAAATAAAGAAAATTAAGCCTTGGTATCACTGTCACGCTGTCACAGCTTTCTTGTATAGATTTGATCTCATCTCGCCACCCAAAGTGATGGTGACAAAGCCAAAAAGTAGAATTTATTATCTATATATAAAGACCACAGACAAAACTTATTATCCCTGGTAAGAAGACTCCCAC